GTTTCAGAAATGCAAAAAGGATTCACTTTCTGTGAGCTCTTTTTATCTTAAAACCACTACTGAGGCTCCCTTCACTCCTCACCCTGACGGCTACGATAGCTCCGCACTTTCTCCCACTAGTATCTCAGCGACTCTGCTCCGTTCCGTCCACAGCTTTGTGACTCCCAAGGGCCTGCGTAAAGCCCAGAGTTTTCGTCAGGCCCTTCAAATGTCAGCCCCGCCATGTGTCACTAAATGGAACTCCCGTCTTCCTGGCATACTTGGTGCTTCCCCCTCAGGCTTGGTGCTTCCCCACCTCTGCGGCTTTGCTCTTGTAATTTTCCTCTCGTGGGAGAACTCCTCACTGCCTTCATCTGTTGAGCTGGAGCTGCGTTCCAGAACCCAGCTCAGATGCCCCATTTCTGTGGGAAGCCTTTTGGGACTTCCCAAACCGATTGTGATTTTTACACCACGATTCTCTAACTTTGAAGCTTTTTTACATCACCTGCCATAGCTGTATTCTGTTTTGGTGGTTTGCATGCCTGGCTTGACTTTTTAGTTTGTAATTTCTGTAAGGGTGGAACTGAGTCTTACCCATCTTTGTCACCCTGCACATAGTTGATGCCCAGGATACAACTCTTGGATAGAACTACTCTTGGTGGAGTTGCGTAACTCAACAACCACTCAGATTTTCTTCCTGAATATAAACTTTCAGCAACTTTACACTCTTCACATTTCTCTCTCTGTAAGTGCCTAACCCTGGACATTTAAAAATTTCAACTTATTGCCATTGTGTCCCTCATCTCGGGCCTTTGATGCATGTTTTTCTGGGCCAGGGTTTCGCATTTGTGTCTCGGCAGCTTGAGAGCAATGCCTGTGAATAATGAGTCAATTATCCCCCAGCCTCAGGGAAAGCACAATTATTCCTGACAGGCCAGGCTGAGGTAACCCTCTCCTCCCTGTGCCCTCTCAGCGAAGAACATAAAACAGTTGGAATTCAGAGCCCCAAGAAGGGAATTCAGACAAAGCATTTGTCTGCTCAATTTAGCTTCTTTGGATTTATTCCGATTTATGATTGATTGTTTTTTAAATTGCTTATTTAATCCTAACGACTATCGCTCTAGGGGAGGCCAGATACCAAGTAGTATGTGATCAAGAAGCAGCTGAGCGAAGTAGTTTGGATGGACAAATCAAGAGCAGGTATTATTGTCCAGTGAAGCAGTGCTCTAGGCTAGGAGTATAATGTGGAAATGACCCTGTGACTTTCAAAGTACCCAACCTTGTTAGAAGCGTGATTGCTTATCCCCTGTTCTCTTTGCAGAAGGCTTTTTGCAACTGCCCAGTGTTGCGCAGAATTTCCCCCCATGAATTTTTTGTTCCTTCTGGCAACATAGTCAATATCTCTTTGCGACTGAGAACATGCTCTTGATTTATATTACTATTGACCATGGCGCAGGAGAACAGAGCCTCTGAGGTCTCTGACAGGATTTGGTTGTGAATTCTGATGACGGTGCTGTCGATCTGTGAAAACTCTCCAGCGAGTGTGGCGATGCTTCTCAGCATGTGGAACTAGTTTGGCTTTTTTATAGGTGAATTTGAATTTTTAAGAAGTTTCTTTCAAAATAGACTTTTCCAAAAGCGATCACTTTCATCTGGAGGCAATATTATCAATATATGATTGATATCTAATTTGTCCAGGCATCAGTAGTTTCTACCTTTTCAAGGAACGGAACCTTTCCCTTTGGCCTGAAATTAGACATTGAAGGTGTAGCTGGTGGCCTTGTGAGGGAGATCTGTTGGAAGCTTGTCTGCTTGGTATAAAAAAACTTGAAATTCCATTACTTCAGAATAATGAAACCTTTAAAAAACCTTTAGGAAAAAAGTGTTTGTTTTATCTGTATTGAAGTTTTGTCTCAGAAATGCCAAAAGAAATGCTCTTTCAGGTCTCAATAACCTACTTGTTCTGTGAAATATTGCTGTTAGGTTTTTAAAATGTATTATGTTTGACATTTATTTCAAAGCAAGAAACATTAGGGACAAGATGAAAGAGTAGAAGAGGACTGATGAAAAGCAGAAACAGACGAGATGAACACTTGGGTGGCACATTTGGATTGTCTCCAGGACACCAGGCTGACTCTTGGAAGCAGCAGCTGGCTCTCTAATCAGGCTTTAGGCCCCTTTGGATTCATTTTGACATTATCATATTGAAAAAGAAATTCCTTCCTATCTCATTCTGCCAACAGATTTATTATTTGTTGTTTTTTAAATGAAAATGATAAAAGCCTTATGAGAAACACTTCTGGGTCTTTGGAGTGATATGGTATGTGTTCATGTGAGGTTTAGGAAAGAGACTTAAACTTTAGGTTTAATCAGAGAGAGAACAATTTTTTTTCCTTCATCTTCTGGTTGTTGACCTAAGAAAGTCCAAACCTGTAAAGAATTTTTTAAAGAATTTATTTGAGCGAAACTGGTGACAACTGCCGCAAAGCAAGATCCCAAATGCTTAGGATAATAGGAACATAACAGTTTGCAATATCTTTGATGCATTTGGAATTGAGGGAACTTACAGAAGATTACATGAAGGTGGGAGAAAGCAAGGCAGGGAATGGATCACAGGACAGTTAAGATTACGTGCTCTCCCGAGGGTGACTGTGCCTTCGAGGGCTATTACTTCTGGTGTTTCAAAGGTGCGTTAACCGAGGTGTGTGAGAACAATGGACAGGACTGGCATAAATGCCTTTCAACTAACGAAGTTATAGGCCTAGGTGTGATCTGTCCAGGTAGGAATTTACACTTACCTATAGTGCCCCCTTTTTTAAAATGAAAGCTTTATATTTCCACAAGGAAGAAATTATAAAAGTGTGAACAAGAAATTTTATTAGATCTGAGTCTCCACCAATAGTTTGACATCAGCATCAGAAGCAGGGACTTCGTTATAGTTTGCTCTTTCATGTGAAGGAGTTTCATCGGGTTAGCTGTCAAATAACCTGGTTATCTTCTTGAAAATGGTAGAGGAGTATGTTGTGTGGTATGAAAACAACTAGAACTTGTCCTTATGGAAAGTCTGTTTGCGTGCTTTTCAAGTAAAGTCAATAGACTATTAAAATAGTTTTGTGCTGGGTGCATAGTATTTTCTTAGTAAATACTAGCTTTAGGTTCTTCAAGACTTGAAGGATAAGTAAGGAGAACTGTAACAATTACACCTCTCATTAGAAAAGTGCACTGAAGAAGAGGAGGTGGCCACAGGAAGTCTTGCTTCTGACTTTGATGAAGTTTGAGGGACCCTTTGATTTCTCAGGTAACTTCTCCTGTTTCCAAGCATTTTCAGGCCTGTCTTGCTCTACGCTGCTGCCACTGCTTATCTTTGCCCCAGGAATGATTCAGGACATCTTCGAGGCTGCAAAACGGGAAGAAGTCAGGGAGGATGAGTCCTAAGACTATTTCTTCCTCACTTATCTGATCTGTCATAGTGCTGGTTACTGCAGCAGTGGTTTTGTTACAGAACAGCCAGTGCTGTTACGGAACAGCCTAACGGGGTTCTACTGCCTGCCACCTATAGGCAATACTCTGGAACCACAAGTTTGGTCGAAAAGGAAAGGAGTTGTTTATTTAAAGGTCATATAGTTTTGGAATAATGGCCAGTTTCTGCCTCAGAGCCCCATTCCCTTTAAAACACCCGGAGACAAATAACCCTGCCACCCTCTGCCTGGTCAGACCAGTTCCAGGAAGCGCCTGGAATCCCTTTTCCCACTTTAAAGTACCATCCTTTGGGAAACGCAAGTAGCTGTATCATGCTCATCCAGTCTGCTTGGCAGGCTCCCAGCCACAGTTGGCTCCCGGGGACTCTCACTGGTCTGTGTGCGCCTGGCCGAGCAGGGCCGTGCAGCCCAGCGCAGCCCAGCCAGCCCTGCCACTGCGTTCTGTGCGGGAGGGGGCCTGGGGATGCTCCACGACCACGTGGCCTCCAGGGCCCATGGGCCCCTGAGCTCCGGCCTCCTGCAGCCCTAGCGAGGGGAGGGGAAAGAGTGTTTTTCCTACATTCTGATTGAAAAGGCCCGGCCTAGAAACCCATGCACGACAGAGCGTCCAGCGTTTCCACCAATGCGTGCTCCTGTCCACCATGATCGTCAGCCTCCCAAGTTGTGGTTGCCCCTCTTCTGGCTGCCATTTTGTGGAATAGGGCAGAGGTTTCCCAGCCGGACACAGGGCACAAGCGCCCCGACCCACGTGGGCCACCTGGCCCCCACCGCCCACTCACGTTCCGTGCAGCCTGTGTCGCTAGCTGCTCAGCTGCTGGGGCAAGGCTCGCTGGTTCTTGCAGCCCCACTGGCTTTGTTTATAGTTGCCCCGGGGCCTGGAAGCCTATCAAGCCCCAGCAGCTCCAGTTTGAATCCTGGGCTGCCAAGGGCAGTGCCTACAACCCCCTCCCTTCTGGGTGGGGGAAGGTGTTGGCTCTCGGGGTTTCTCCCCGACTCCTAGCGATCTGACCAGACCCCTCGCTCATTACATTCCGAGCAACCTTCCATTACCTTACTCACTCAGCACCCCTGCAGCCAAAGCTAGTGCGTCACATTGAGTGTCTAAGGATTTGTTTAGGGGTCGCCTGTCCCAGTAGTAGCTGATTAGGGGTCATGGGTGCTGGTGCAGGAGGCACTACAGAGAGCTGGCCTGAGCTTGTGTTGTTTCCAAATGTAACCCTTTTAAAGAGAAAGTGATGAATTCCATAGCTGTGTTTTCTCTCTCTGGCTTATTGAGTTAATAATTACAGACTGGGTTATTTTACCTCTGCTCCCCAGTAGTAGTTCTGTGTTTCTGTGCTTTAGACATCTTTACAAGTTTTAATTCTACCAGTGATGGATATTCAGAAGGAACCAGGGGATTTGGACTGGGATTGCACTGGACCACGGTCATGAGAACAACAGGAATCTCACGGGTTTTGATGCCATGAAACCAGCAGCTCCAGAGCAAACATGACTGGATGCGGTGTCTGTTTTCTAATTTTGTGTAACTTATCATTTCAGAGGATAATGTGACCAAAAGAGAAGCATTCGGGACCAATTCTTCAGAAAGCATACATACTTCAGTTCAATATTCTCATGAAAATGAACCAAATAATCACTGCTTTAGCAATAAAGCCATTTTTCTTCGTACTTCATCACAGTGTTCAGAAGAGGAGCAGGTAATACAATAGCACACTTTCAGAAATGGTCTGAGAAAAGAACATTCTTTCTGAATTAAAAAAAAAAAAAGTGACCTAAGAGACATTGGACAGCTATTGAATCAATAACTCAGACTCCAAATTCTAGATGGAGTGCTTTATTGGGATACTTTATTGAAAATCATTATTACATTTCGTGATTTCAACAGCCAATGTTTATGATGGTAACTTGGTTTTCCCCAATTTTTGTTAAAAACCTCTTAAGAATCTGCCATTTACAAATTCTTCTTGAAATTATTTATACATTTTAACTTTTCCTCTATTTAGAGTAAAAAAATTCCTTTTTAAATTCTCTGTGTAAAATGGGAGGGTTTTTTTTTTTTTTTTTTTTTAAACCTGTTCTGGATTCATCTCTTTTGAGCTTAAAGTAGAAGCTAGTTCTCTTGTTCTTTTTTTCCAGGATTTGGTCAATAAATATTATATGCTCTCTCCCTGATTCTCAAGACTTAGTAGACTATAGTCATAGTCTCTTTAAGCCATGGTTTTTAACTATCAAGGAGTTGAAGTGAAAATTATTCTACTTATTATTTTTTAAAACAAACAACATTTTATTTAGGCTGAAGTAAATTATAAAAAATTGATTTTCTTCATTCAAAATAGCAGTATTTTCTGTATTTTTCCTAGGTAAACCACAAAACACATTTTTTTGTATGTTTTCCAGGTTTTGCTTACAAATCAAGATAAGGCAGTAGATACAGTCATGGAAAATGTTCCGGTTTTTAAGCCATTTGAGTTTCTGGTTTCTACTTCGTCGTGTCTTTCTTGTGATAAAGTGGACAGAATTATATTTAGGATTGTGGTTTTATACAAGGGAACCAAAATTTCTGCACGAGAAATGTATTTATAGATAGGAGAGGCTATATATGGAGATGATTATGTGACAATCCCCTAGTGAAATCACTGTCTACTGGCAATCTTTAGCAATTGGTAATTATATGATCTACTGAGCCTTTGACCACCATGTCGGAGGCAAAGAATTGTTCAATTGCATTGTCTTCTAACAATTTGAAAGTTGTACTGGCACCTTTTCCACTGTATGAGCCCCACCTCAGATTTGTCCTTCAAAGGTTCATTGCGATGGATGGGAGGTGGGGTAATGAGGTGGGGCATTTCTATTTCACTCATGGAAGAACTGAGGTTAAATAATCTACGTAGTTACACTGTGGGTTAATCTAGGGGACAGAAGTACAAGTCAGGCCTCTGGAAACCTATCCCTTAACCCTGGCTATGATTTAGTTAATCTGGTTCCTCATGTGTAGCTAATTAACAGAAACTGGAAGGAGAGTTTTATTGTCTGCGGCTAAAGAAGAAGAGTGGCTACAAGATCAGCTCCTTTTTATTTTTATTTTTTTCAATTTTCCATTTTCCCATCAATATGCCCTCACTCTGTTTTTCAGATAGTGCTGGATGAAGGCCAGAGCGTTGGCAGCTCCTTCCAAGGGGATCTGAATTGGGCTGGAAAGGTGAAGGTAAGGCCTGATTTAATTTTTTTCCATGGCAGAAATCCTATAAAAACAAAAAAACCCACAGGCCTCATTTGCTGTCCCATACAAGTTGGAGAATTCAGCATGTTTTGTCCTTATACTGTTTTGTTTTTGTTTTTAAATTGGTGTTTGAGTATGTTAAACTATCCATGGTTGGCTGGGTTCCAGATCTTTTTTCCTCAAAGCTTAATAAATGGAAGAGGTGCTCTGACAGAGACACTCGGTAAACATGAATCTAGTCCCCCTTAGCAAATACCATTAAGAGAAATGACAATATAACAGAGCCCCACATTCTAGTAGTGAAACTGGCATATGGAAGGTACATTTTTGCTGTCACCTGGATGCCAGGCAATACCTGCAGTTATATACTGAAAAGCACTGGAAGCCACCATTTTTAATTCTTATGTAAGAGCTATATGGTCTGGCCAATAGAGCTGAAAGAAGAAAGACCCAGGCTGTCTTTTGAATTCCAATGATGAGATCTAAATGTGCAATTTTAAGGTATTTAGTTATGCACACATTTTAGGTCATAAGCATAAAAGGCATTTTGACATTATGCCTTTACTAGGTCTCCTTGGAGCCAGTGATGAAATCATTTTCTTATTTACACTCTTTGATATTCACCTGAGATGAATTAATTCCTATCTGAAATGTTACCATTTTGTTAATCTAAAATGTCTCATTGTCAGCTTGTAGTGGAAAGCAGTATTCCATGTGGAATAGTTTTTCATTGAAATGTTGCTCTTGTGTGTGTAAAGGTCATTTGCTCTGCTTTTTACCTTTAAAGTAATTTTCAGTTTTATTTGTTCAAAAGAGAGAACACTTGATTTTTTTGCCCTGCTCACCTCCCTTGTGATTTACTTGGGTCAGGATGATTTTGTTTTGAATGAACCTTACTCTCTGCTTTATTTTTTAAAAAAGATTTTATTTATTTATTTTTAGAGTGAGGGGAAAGGAGGGAGAAATAGAGGGAGAGAAACATCAGTTGGTTGCCTCTCTTACGTGACCCGACTGGGGACTGAACTTGCAACCCAGGCATGTGCTCTGACTGGGAATGGAATTGAACCGGCGACTCCTTGCTTTGCAGGGCTATACCCAACACATTGAGCCACACCAGTTAGGGCTTTCTTGCTTTCTTTAGTGTTTTTTCTTCCTGGCTCTTTAAAGTGAAAGCATGCTGTTATGATAATAGCCAGACCCGCCATCACTATTTACTTGAGAAACAAAAATAATAAAACAACAGCAGCAACAGTAACAACAAGTAGAGACACTATTTTGGACTGTCTTGGTGGTTTTATGTATTCTGGGATAGAATGTGGAACAAAGTCCCTTTCAAAAACTCCCCAGATAGTTTTTTTTTTCCTTTTCAGTAAAAAGATCTTACTATGGTGCCTACAAAATCCAGGCCAACTTTCAAATTTACTGTTTCTTTCAGGTGTCTCTGGGAAAGCAATGTGAACACAAAGACCTTCACAGCTAGGACTCAAAAGTTAATGAGAAAATTGGATTCAGTTGCTCACTTGAGTGTTGTAGAAGTGGATTCATTGATTCTTAATTGCATTTTTTAGATCTAATATGCATAACAGTAATATTAATCCTTTTCTAGGTAGATAATTTCCTAGCAATAGAAGATTTGGATATGGATGAAGAGATTAAGCCTCAGATGAGCAAGGGTATGCCTTCTATGCCTTCTGTTTCCTTTCTATTCTGCTTGACCTCTTTCTAGAAGCTACAAATAAGACGTTAGGTAGCTTTACAATTTTTTTTTCTTGGCAATCCTACCTCCATCTTCCCCGATACAGAGAAAGCTGGAGTTCTGCAATTTCTTTTTTAATAGAAAGATTTCAGCTGAAAGGTCAAAGACTGTTGAATGTTGTAAAGTCTTGTGTCTTGATAAAATAAAGATGTCCCTCCCTCTCCTGTGCTGATTTATCATATGCTTGATATTTGCATAATTATTTCAAGCAAATTCATTTACGTTAAACCCAATTTCTTAGAAGCATGATGTAAATTGAGATTATTTTGGAATGATGCATAAAACATCAATTGATCATAAAAATCATAACAATGTCAGCATTGATCATAAACAAAATAAAACCCAAATCTTTGCTTTTATACATATTTTTTAAATATGTAAACCAAACACTTAAGACTAAAGGTATATTGTAAATGTGTCTTCTGGGGTATTTTCTCACTTGGCCTGGGCTGGGAGAGGCTTAATGCTAGTTCCTTGATGTTTATGTAAATGAGGCCTTTTTCCTTTGCTGGTTAACATTTCTGTGCAAGCATAGGTATCTTTTTGCTCAAAGAACCTTTGAAATATGTTCAAAATTAGAGTTATTTGCTTTGAAAACTCTCATTCCTAATTTAATATGCAAGAATATTTCAAAGTCAACGTTGAATGTTAGGGAAGGGGCAGTTTCCATGGGGGTTTGGCGGTTGGCATTAAGTGTTGCTTACAGTGTTTAGGTAGTCACAAACATAAATTATGGTCATTACTGTTGTCTGGGGGGGCTTATTTATAATCAGGCAGGAGTTAGAGGGACTGTTTGTTTGGGGATGATGACTCTCTGTAATTTAGTTGTTTGAACCCCTGCTCTTGGCTTCTCTGGTTGCCTGAATTGAGGGCCTCCGGTAATTGGAAGCAACTAACATTTATATTCTGCTTCCAAATACTGCACTACTCTGTTGAAGGGTTTGTTTTTCAAGCACTCTATTAACCAGCAGAGTTTGGAGATTTTCTCCCTTACTTGGTTCAAGTGAGATCAGAGATCCAAAGGAACCACATAGTCCCAGGAGAGGTTCTCTTAACTTTAATACCGTAGGTTGCTCTGAATTTCTGTATAAGAGCAGCTTAGGGGCTCTGACTGGACTAGAAGGGATAGTTTAGGACTTACCAAGAGCCAAGTTCGTAAAGCAAGCACACCGTTTCTGGGTTTTGGGGGATGTGGACACTGGAGCTTGTTAAAAATGAACATTCCTGGGTCCTGTGCCCAAGGCAGAGTCTAGTTCAGAAGCTCTTTGGCGGGGTACCTGGTGACCTGTGTTTTGAGTCACTGTCCCAGGGGATTCTGGCAGAGTTCATCTGTGGATGACACTTGGAAACGACTCATTCTAGTTTGTACGTAGTACATTTGCAGAATAAAATTAATTTTATAGGAGGGCACAAAAATACACAAGTTGGGCATTTTTTTCCAATGATTTTAATTTCTTGCTTCCTGCCAGTGATGAGATCTATATACTGACATAAATCTACTTAGCCAACGAATGTGATTTTAGTTATAGCCGTCTCTTAAGTTAACCCTTTTACCTTTTCCCATTATTTTTCATTAAACATATTTTCAAGTCGTTTTTTAAAAATCAGATCTATTTCTTTAGTTTAAAGTGTGCATAAAAACATCTCACTAGTGTGATTTTTTTTTTTTTTTTTGAGAAATCAGATAACAGGCAATCTTGCATTTGTGTACAACAGGCTACTGAAGCCTGAACCAAGTCTCTGGATGTGAATGAGCTAGTGAAGGCCTTCCCATAAGTAAACTAATGTGAAAAGCCTAGGCTGAAAAGCAACTCTGGTTTCATTGATCTATTCCAAATACCAAAAAGACCACGAGGGCTTTACAATTTTTATAGTGTACAATCTGGGTCATTTAAAAGGAAAAAGAAAAATAGTTTGTGCCAAGGTGAATTTTAGTTTGGGCCTAATTTGTATTACACTTCAGGAATGTGAGCAGAAGGCAAATATTTATGTCAGATGGGAAATGTGACATTTTAAATAGACAAGTCACTTGCATAATTTTGGCAGCTGAGAGGTTTACTGATTAGATTCTGTTGTTACTGTTTAAGCAACAGATTTGCCTAAGGAAATGAGCTGCACATTGTTTTTCTACCACTGACCTCATTTGCTCACCTTATTTGCTTTCAAAAATATTCTTCAAAACTCAGGCACATGACTCTTTCCCCATATCTGGCTTATCATTTTGGCAGCTCAGGTAGACACAGTTTCTCAGAGGATCTAACTCAGGGCAGTTGCCACAAAGTTTGGGGCCCTGTGTTTATCTCACATCAAGTGAACCGCTTTTTCTTCCTTTGAATTTGAAATAAGGTAATTAACCATCAGGATAGTTGGCATCATACCCCGGCTTTCATCCCGCAATATTATTATTTGGAATAGGTGTTAGTGATGCTGAGGCCGTTAGAGTGGGAAGAGTCCTCTGGCCCCCTTTGTTTATTTCTCCCCTCAGCTGGCCCAGCCTGTTCTCTGGCAGAGTGCAAACTGGCAGAAGAGACTTTTTGAGGTCTAGTTCTCAACATTATGAGGGGGGACCTAAAAATCTGAGAATTTATTTATAAAAATTTGTGTATTTATTCTTACATGTCTAAACTTTAGTCACCTTACCGTACTCTCCATTTAATGCAATACAGCTATTGAGATATTGTTTCCACTGTCCAAAACAGTTTTTTAACATGTCTATTTTGATGCCTTTTAGTGCTTCTGCCATTTTTTTGTCTCACCTCTTCCACATTGGCAAAATATTTCCCTTTGAGGACATTTTTGATCCAAGGAAACAAAAAACAAGTTGCTTGGGGGGAGATTGGGTGAATAGGGAGGGTGGGGCACGGGGGTCCTGCTGTTTTTGCTCAAAAGCTGCTGAACACTCCGCGTGGTGTGGGCAGGTGCACTCGTAAATCACCCATCATGAAATGGGCAAATGCATAGAAATAGTCTTCAAAAATAGTTCACTGAAGCCAAATGCAGCTTCTCACAACAACGCCAGCTGGTGCACCGATACAGACGGGTTCCTAGAACACTCACCTAGCGGGGGAAGCCTGTACCACAAGAGGCCCGCCCTCCAGAAGATAACTCCAAATTCTTTGGGTCCCCCCTCGTATACTGTCTTACACAGCTCGCTTAGCCAATGGGTGTATTTATTCTGTGGTTGATTGTGTTGGACAAGAATAAGCAACTAATTCCTGCTCAAAGTTTGGCAGTCTTATTTGATTTTCACTCTGGCATTCCCACTTCTCAAAAAGGCATCAGTCATCTCTTCTTATTTTTAAAAAATTCTTTTCTTATCTGTGACTTGAAGCATCTTTATGCAGCTTATCAATGACCTGGGACTCTCACTCAACAGATATTTAGCACCTGTGATTGGTGCCTGGTATATAATGAAGACTAAAACAGGCCTGGTTCTTGTTCTCACGAAATTCGTAGTTTTCTGGAAGAACCCAACATTGACCAGATAATCACAAATACCTTACACGTTGTTCTAGACCTCATGAGAACATACATAGGGAAGGGGAACTTAAATTTTTTAGCAGGGTCGGAGAAAACACTGTGAGAGCTTGAGACTGAAAGGATAAGTAACCTTTAAATGAGGGAGTGAGATGCGGCTGCGGGAGGGAAGGAGAGCGCAGGAACAGCATAAGGAACGGCATGTATAAAGGGCCGGAGCCAGGAGACGGCATGTTTCAGCCAACTTAGAAGTTTAGACACTTCATTTATTTACACTTAGTGTTATTAAAATCGTTCTTTCATTGCCTTGAAGATCACTAAAACCACTGGGAGGGAAAAGTCCTTGCTTCCAAATGTTCCTCTGTGCCCGTTCCTCCAATCTGTCTATGTGAAAACGTCGTCCATTCGGGCCTCGCTCGAAAGCCGTGTCAACCGCAGGGCGAACGTGCTGCCCAGGCCCCATGATTTTGTAAGGAAGCTTTTACTTTATTCCTGAGAAGAGAACAGAATTGGGAACATAATTCTGCCCTTTCACAATTCCTATGCCTGTTTTTTCCCCAAGGGAAAAGGAAGTCTTTGTCTCATTGGAGGAGTGGAAAAGGAAAGTACGTGTATATGGATCAGCCCTTCCGTCTCTTCTTTTGGGTCTGTGCTGTTTGGAAGGGAGATGCTCTCTCTTCTGTGTCTGTGCCACTTTTCCTATAACAGACATGCTTTAGATGGGGCCTGCTGTAGGCACTACTTTTTAATTTTCAAGACCAATTAGAATCACTTGAGGAGCTTTAAAAAAAATACCGCTACCTGGAGATTCTTTTCCAGTGGTTTGGGTTGCGCCTTGCGTATCGCCCATTTTTAAAGCTCCCTGGATGATTTTCATGTGCAGTTGAGGCTGAGAACCATCTCTAGTCAGGAGTCTGGAGGTAGTGCTCTTGAGCCGCTGCTCTAAGAGCTCTGCAGATGTGAAGTAGTTCTCCTTGGACTTGACTGCATATATGTTAGCCATGCAGAATTTCTCTGGGGTGGGATAGCTCAACGTCTAGGCTTGGGGGGAAGAACTTGACAAATAAGAAGCCCAGTTGTGACTGCAGGAAAAGATCCATTTTTAAGTTTAGCACCAACTGTTATAAAGTTCGTATTTTGGTTCCCATCTTTCTGATTCCTGTATTTATTTCTTTTCTATTTCTATAGTTGGAGGGAGGGGGATATGACTTACTGTTGTTGTCAAGCGCCAACCTTATCCATGAAATAAGACTTCCTTTATCTTCCCCACCTTCTCCTTGGATAGGGGTTACCTTTCTTCTTCTGCACTTCCACTTCTATTTATTCAGATTTATTTATTTTTCTCAAAGTGGGTTTAAGTTAATGTGTCTCTTGAAAACTGCCTATCATTTCTACACATGCACCTATACACATACACACACATATGTTTTCTAAACCTTTGTCTTTTAATTGGAGTGTTTGGTCCATTTACATTTAATGTAGTTGCTGATATATTTGGCTTTAAATCTACTCTCTCACTACTTTGTTTTCTGCTTATCTTGCCGGTTTATATGTTCTTTTCTTCTTACCTATTTTGTGTTATTATTTCATATCCCCATATTTCTGCTGGGTAGAGAATTCTAGGTTTATAAGTTTTTTCTTTTAGCATTTTAAAGTTGTTATTCTTTTTTTCTGGTCTTCATTATAGAAAACTGTTGAAGAACCACATGTCAGTCTGATTGTTGTACCTTTGAAGACAATGTGGTTTTTTTCTTTCATTTGGCTGCTATTGTGATTTTTTTGTCTTTGTATTTTTAGTAATTTCACTATGCCTTGGTATTGTTTTATTTGTATTGCTTCCTTTTTAATATTGTATTTAGATTGTGATTATAGCTTTTGATTTGCCGTTTATTGACTAAATACAGAAAGATAAGTGGAATGAACACATAGTTTATAAACATTGAAAATTCTTATATGTAGTTGAGAAAGACGAGATTGAAATGTTTTCAGTCAGTCTTGCTTTTTAACACCAAGATTTATTTTTTGAGCTTTGCCTTGACTGTACAACGTACATCAGCCAAAATAGGGGTATTTAGTTAAGAGGAAGACAAGGCCTTTGGTAGTTCCAGAAACAACAGTTAAGATAAGATTAAGTTTCTTAAAGCGTTTCAGTTTTAGAAAGTTTTACAGAGACTTCAGAAATTCCATTTCCCACCATTAATGAATACGATCATTTCACCTCCTGAGAGAATAGGCATATATAAATAACCCAGCCGTGATGATAAAATGACTGAAAGATACAGCAGCTTTCTTCATAACTGTCTTACCAGACTATTCTCATCCATATTGGTTTTACTCTTTTTATGAATCTGTCCTCTTTAGAGTTAAGGCTGTTTAATTTTGTTTTGGTTATTCTCTGATTGATTTTTTTGTGTGAAAATCTTATCCCTGTAACAAATTTTAGTTTTTAAGGTAAGGTAGACTCTTGATACTTGCTTTTCAGTTTAAAAGTTGAGATGCAGGAAATTCATTTCCTGTCTCCAAGTTATTTGTTGAGAATATACTCTGTATAAGATGCTGTGTTAGGCACCAACAGTATACTTTGGGCATTTTGCTTTTACACTGAAGAAACAAATGGCAAGAAAAATGTGGAGGATTCTGAGTCTGAAGGGATTGTACCCATGACAATAGAATTTATATGAAAGAAAACATTCCTTGCAAATATTAGAGAGGTGAAGAGGCTTAGCCAAGGAACTGCAGGGTTGTCCTCCTTGGTGCATAATATTGTCAATCAGATTTTAAATAGCTCTGAAGGCAGAATTGATTTTTATCTTACACTTGAACTGATGTTTGCCCTGGCAATCAATGGGTCTGGTAGGTGTTGGCTTTTACATTAAAATGCCTGAACCTTTCTCTTCTTGTTTTTGCTGTTGGCAGGCCCCAAACGAGGCTCATACCGGTGCTGGGCGGTTACACCAAGTTTGACTTTGAATTCATAAATAGATACATTAGAAAGCCAGTCTTTCCACCAATCTTACTGAGTTTAAAAATATTTCTTCTCTGGGTATAATATGTTTAAGTGCACTTAACACTCACTAACTAACCGTGCTAATGTGCTATTGTAGTGACATTTCTTGGCCCTGAGTTTGGATGTATAATCTGTTGGATTTAAACAATATCTGTAATGAAAATGCTTATTTAAAAGAAATTGGTGATGTGACATCATGGGCTTTGCAGACAGACTGCCCGGCTCTGCTACTTTCCAGCGGTGGCACCTAGGATGAGGTTACTCTCAGTGCTTAGAGCTCATTGCCTGTAAGATGGGAAATAAGGGAGCTGTTGGAGTAGCTGAGTTAATAATGCAGATAATACGTAAGCTCATGAGAGTTGACTATTATTATTGCTTTTATTTCTGCTAGTTTATTAGGTGATATTTTATATGGTTTCGATAATTAATCATAGTGAAACTGCCTTCTTCACCATCCCCCCGCGACCGTGCTCAGTTTCCAGGCTGTCCGTGTTCTCTCTTGCTGGAGTCTTACGAATTTTGTATTTTGTAATTTTTTTTTTTTTTTTTTTTTTTTTTGTGAAGGTGATATCACAGTGGTGAGAGATGCATTTCAAATAAGTTTCAGTTTTTGAATATCAAATTGTGTTTGGTCTTCTTCCTATATATGCTGCCACTGCCACTGGCAGCAGCCAAGGCATGCCTCTTGCTAAGTAATCACTTCCACTGAGGACATAGCATCTCCATGAGGATCATCACTGAGTAGCACGCAGCATTGTCCTGAGCCAGCTGCAAGTTTCTGGCTAGCTCCCGCAGCCCTTCTAGTCCTGTGAACACTTAGACTGCGGGGGAAACCTGTTGTGCTTCCATTTGTTTTTTGTTCTTAAAGAAAGCTGTGGAAGAGCACCGATTGTCTGTGGTACTTCCATGTTCTGTCACATGTGCAAAAATAAGGGAGCACATCCCCTTATAATGGGCTGATCAGAGAACCAAGATTGGTCACTGACCTCTTGCAATTGTGCCAAACAAGCCGGAAGCTCGCTTTTGTTGTTTGCAGGTGTCGAAAATTAGACCGTGCATTCTGAATATGACAGAGTAGCTCATTTTTCTGCTGAACGTTAAAGTTCTTTCCTTCAGGCATCATTGTTTTTTAATTTTTTTTTTTGAAATATTGCCATATCATTATGGGATGAAATCAACACTCCATTTCCTTTCTCTTCACCCCTCAGGAAAATGAGGCAAAAATAGCCTCTCCTTACTTTATTTTCCTATACAGGTAGAAATTGGGTTGAGAGGCGAGAGGCATGAACAAGTTACTCCCAAGGAATATTTCTCCCAGACCTTTTGGATAGAATGTAACCTTGCAACGGCTAGATAAAAATAAGTGCTCTAAGGACTTCTGCTTTCCAGAAAGGGGAATCCCTTGAGTCAAGTTCCCAAAGGAGGACAGGCATTGTGAAATGGACTTACTCTACTTCAGCATATTTGCTTTATTCTTTTGACCATGATAGGCTTTAAGATCACTTAGTTTAAATATGAACTCAGTGAAAGAATCAAGGGAAATATTTTGTATCCAACAGGCTGGCTGCTGCTGCCCGGAGAAGTGGAGCAGGACGTGAGCGCCCGTGTCCCTTCTTACAGCCCCTCCGCGGCCCGGCCCCTGACCCTGGGAGGGAAGCCAAGGCCCACGGTGAAAGCAGTGGACAAACAAAGGGATGAGGTACTCCCCGGAGAATTCAGCCAGTCTCAGAGTCGCCTGGCTGGTGTAACTTGTCCTTTTACAGAAATGCTACCAGACCTGTGCGCTGTTGTATTTTTCTCAGATTTGGGAAAATTTAGAATTCAAGTTGCTTAAGTGGGTCCCTCTCACTGCCATCTGTCTGTAATGCATATCTTTCTTTTTAAACACAGAGCACAATTATATTTTTACATGGAAACTGTGTTTGTTTCATGCTGTATGCCACGCTACGTGCCAGTACTACCTGGGGACAGAGCATCAGAAAGGACAGGCGGGTTTCTTATTTCTTTTAGTCTGAACTAGCCTTTTCCCTCTGTATTATTGTTTCTAAGGTTCTATAAACATCTGGTAGTAGTTAAGGGAAAGCCGGGCTGCTACGGTAATTCAGTGGCTGGAGGAGACAGAGGTCTGTCTATTTCCTGCAACAGCCTATGGAGAGTCTTTAAAGTTAGCCAGTGGCTCTGTGCCCAGGGGTCGTCATGGCTCCTTCTCTGGAATTCCACTACGCCTAGGACATCGTCCTCAGGTGCATGTCGCAGGTCTGAGTGCTGTCCTACCTGGAGGGGCGGGGAGTGAGAGCATAGGGAAGCTTAGGACCCAGGGCTCTTGTCCTGGTCGCATTCCATTGGCAGCCACTCTGTTGCATGTTCCTGCCCCACCACACGGGAGGCTGGGAAGTGTCAGCAGCCTTTGGCTTCACCAGCAGGGTGGCATGGAACCTCTGCCATGTGTTTTTTCTCCCAAATGCACAAGTTGGAAGTCGTCTTTTGCCGTCATTTCCAGCTCTTCCACGTGTACTTGACACATGTGCTCCAGCTGAGGCTGCTGGTGGAGCTGGGTGTGACCTTTACACCCTGTTTACTCTGAGGGGTTCCTGCAGGCACACAGGTCGTTAGGGGCTCTTTATTATTGCTTCCTAACAAAGCCCTTAGGATGTTTCTTGATTATTGAATTATTCAGGTACTACTATTGTCACTTGTTATGGAAGTAGTTGTTCAGTCAAAAGCAGTCCACACATTTCAATTTTAAATTGCCCCTTTAACATAATACTTTGCTCAGTGATCTCACAAACATATGTCTAGGATCCTTGTAGAGAGAGGTGAACATCGATGAGAGGGAAACCCTGATCGACTGACTCCCATGTGTGCCTTGACCGGGGACAGAACTGGCAGCCTTTTGGTGCACAGGATGATGCTCCATACACTGAGCCACACTGGCCAAAATAGTTAATCTATTTTGATGAAAAGAATTTGCATTAGGGCGATGAAAAATTCTGAGTTCCCCCTCCTCACACCCAACCCATAGAAGAAGTCATAGAAGAAACTTTTGTAGTATTTCAATGGGGGTTCTCCTATGTTTCCAAATCATATTGGGACTTTTAAAATTTTTCACCTATATAGACAGTGTATTTACCATATTGCTTTGTAAGAGACTAAGCTATGCTGCTTATGCTGCCTATGGCTAAATGCTGCTCTTATTGATTTGAGCATTAGTTCTGTTTTCTTTAATTTGCCTCTGTGGTACTATGAATGAAAATGATTCCTCTTGTAGCAGTCTCTCTTAGAAAAAGTCACATGAGCAATTATAAGGAAACTAGCTGTTTTCTACTAGTGTACAAATTCTATTCTCTGAGAGGCTACAAACAGATTTCAATTAGATTTGAAATTAGACATCTGAAATCCACATATTTCTCTTAGCTCCTTAGGCAAAAATAACAAGTTAATAACTTAATTCACAGTTGTCTTCTGTTTAATCGTGGGGGATTTGGCGTTCCATTGCACAAATTCTTCCCTTTGAAATAAATCAGAATTTCAGTTTGTAATCTAAAAACCCTGGAGTCTTTTAGCTCAGGACCCTAAAATGAACCTAACTTGAGAGAAGGGAGGTCCCCAAGTGTGCCATAATAGCCAGCAGCTGAAATACAGAAGTAGAATCGCTACATTACTATATTTTAAAGTCTGTTTTTCTAAGGTCACTGTGGTGTCTTCTGAGTTGCAGTGCATATCTAATTTCATTTGAATGACACATGTGCGCCTTTTCTTGGAAGTTTCTAAACTCACTCATGCATGTTTTCATAAGCTGACTTAATTGAAATGCAAAAGGTCAGAACTAGTGCTGAGTGCAGTGCTGTGCATATAGTAGACATGCAATGAATAGTGAAGGAACAAATTAATAAACAAAAGGCCTCACCACCTATGGGGAGCTTTCTAGGCTAATCAAATGGTTAGGGTAGGGTCAATTCTTTCTTCTCTATTGGTTCATTCTGCTCAACTTGTAAACATGTTAAAGTCTCTCTGGTCATTAACAAAACAACAGCAACCTTCCCTTTACTTTAGGCCCTTCTTCGGCTACTTTCTAATCTTTTCCCTCTCTTTTCATCGACACTTAGGAAACGATTAGACTCGACTCTACTAGTCTGCTGCTTTTTCCCCTGATTCCCATTCAATATACTGAAAAACGTCCTTGACTACAATCACTGGTGGTCTCACTTCACTGCGCTCCTCAGCCTCTGTGTGTTTCTCTGGTTGCTCCTCCCCTGCTGCACCCCCTCCATGGGGGTTATTCCTCAGGGATGCCTGCCGAGCCTCTAGCTCTTCCCACTGACTCTGGGATCCGTTTTCATCAACAGGATGGCCTCTTATGCTTAGGGCTCCAAGTCTGTCTCTCTAGCTTCAGGCTTTTGCCAGAGCTTCAGGCTTGTGTATCTGATTGCCTGTTGGCATTTCTATCTGGATTCTCTTAGGAACCTACAGATCTTACCTTTCCATGCCCAAATCAGTCATCAAGTGCTACCAATTTTACTTTGTTATGTTTTCAAATATCTTTTTAAAAAATATTTTTAAACTATTTTATTGTTGTTTAATTACAGTTGTCCCCATTTTTCTGCCATTGTTCTCCTCTGCCCTGGTCTACTCTCTGCCCCTGCCCCCCAACCCCCCCATTCTCATTACCTCTGGCCTAAACTTCAGCAGGCTCCTGACTAGTATCCTGTCTCCAAATCTAACCCCCGTTTAATCTTCAAAGTGACCTGTCTAGGTGTGGTCTTCAAGAGGGTAGGGCATCTTTCTGTTTTGTACAGGCCGATGTCTCTAGCACCTATCTCATTGTAGGTGTTCAGTTAAAATTTGAATAAAGAAATTCATCTGCAATGTGTAGGTGACTAAGTATCTACCCTACTTTCAAAGTATCTTCCAGTGACTTTCATCATCTCTAGGACAAGCACCATATAAGATCTGTCACAACCCAGCACCATCTTCTTTCCTTTCTGCCACCCTCTACCTTACACGTGATACTCTGGAAACACTGAAACTACTTACAGATCCACACACGTGAAGTGCAGTATCTTATTTCTTTTGGCCTGCTCATGAGAACTCCCCTTGTCCACAAAGCTCTTCTTCCCTGAACCTGGTTAGTTAATGTCGCATTTAAGATTCTGCTTAGATATCACCTCTTCCCACAAACAATATGACTTCATCTAGTGAGAGTGGCTAGTAAACACCTAGGCAAATTTTAGATGAGTCAGGGTGGATTTCAAAGCCCTAGGGCAGTGGGCACACATGAGTATGGGAAGCCTGAAACTTGGTGGGCATGTGGGTGTCAGACCTTTAACCAGGTATAAATGGGCAGCAAGAACTGCATTGGACTGACTGCACTGGTAAAGCTAGGACTTCTTCTATCCCCGATAGGGTCCCTTAGAATCGGCTCAGGTGGGGCCAGGCCTGCGAGCCTCAGTGCTTATCGCTGAGTAGAGTTGGACACTGCTAGGATGCTTTTGATCAGCAGCTGAACGTATGGTGTCCTTGACTGTGTGTTTCTTCATTTGAGCTGCTCTCAGCAGTACTACCCCATTGTTACTTTGTGGTGATTTGCTTCCTGTGTACAGCTGCTCTTTTATATAGACAGTCATGGTAGTATGTGGAGCCTTCAGTCCCTTTTAAATTATGTGCTATGGGATTTGTTTACCTTATTTAGAAAAGGTCCTTTCTCCCAAACGGCAATGACTTGGCTCAGTGAAAACTTCAAGATTGATTTTTGCTGGTGTTTTTGTGAGAAGATGAAGCTTTATCTGAAGCAGATTAGTTTGAATTCAGATCTTGCTTCTCCTCCTAACTAACTGTGTAGTTTTGGGCAAGTGACTTAGCCTTTTGGCAGGTCATAAGATGGGTTGTTTGGAGACTACTGCTAATGCCCACACAGTTCCTAGTACTGGGGCTGGCCCTTGGTGGAAGCTCATTCCATGACAGCCCCTTTCATTACCATTGTCAAGAAAGCACACACTTTCTATTGTAATAAAGAGGACATAAACCAGTCTCTGAAATTTTCTCTCTTGCTGGTTTTACTAAGAACGGATGACAGATATACTAAGAAAGGCTGGGTGTTTGGTACTAACACTGTACACCTACCTATGAGAATCAACTTGCTGAACTGACAGGAGATATCTGCTTTTCATGGTTGTATTGTATTTTTTTCACCTTTAATAACAGCACAGTTTTTGAGCTATATGCTTCATTTTCAAGAACATTGCAAAAGCCACTCAGTGGGATCATTTTCCAGGCAAGAATATTTAAAGCTGATTACAACTTCAGGGCATATTTTTCATTCTTGCACAAACTGTAGTTTTCAATTATTTCAACATCACCATTCATATTACAGAACTACGCAGAGGTCCTGGATGGTTTCATTGTATTACACACCATTTGCTTTTGGAGAGGCTTTTTAAGGAGTGATGCAATGAGATTTAAGGCATTCTCTTTTTGTTTATTGGAAAAATATGCTTTTTAAAATCTGTGTTCTTTTAGAAAGTCTTTAAAACACAGATTATGAATAAACAGGTACAAAATTATTATATCTCTTTGCAGTTACTCTGACTTATAGATAAATTCTGTAATATTCCAAATATTTTTGGTAGGACAAAGGGATCCTAGACTTTTTAAGGTGATATTATGTGTTTTAATTCCTACTGTTATTGGCCCAGGAATTATAGGTATTATCTGAAAGAATAAGTATGTTAAGTGTAGAGTATTTTTAACTTTGAAAGTTGTTTTATTGATATATCTTTTATAGTAAATTGTAAAAATATATTCAAGGTTGATCAAAATCTTAACATATTTTTTCACACTCTAACTTAGTTTTTCCATAGTCCTCTGCCCCTAACACTGCAAGTGGCAAGAATCTTTCTGTTTCTTGCCATGGGCAGAATTAGTTAATGATATTCATTTAGAGTCAGGATGGTACAAATGGGGCGTATTAAGGGGCTTAAATTAGGTCAAATTGAATAATTGATTTTATTCCTTTACTTAAAAAGGGCGTAATCAGCTGAGAGAGCTAAAGTCTAAAAAAAGCTTAATTAAATATGAATAGGGAATTTATGTTTTCAACTTCATCTGCCTTTACAATGGATGGTAAATGATTTCCCTCCTTTGTTACCTCTTGTAGATACTCGGGGATGAAGTTCAGCCCTTCCGACTTGATGATGAGTTTGATTATGACTCCGTGATGCTAACGCCCAAGTTCACGCCTGCTGAGATAGATGCCATCAAAGAACTGTCCAAGCAAAAGCCAGAGAAAACCAACACAGACTTGGAGGAAGCCCATGACTGATTCACCAAGACAGCTTCCTGTTTTTCATTTTGTTCTTATTCAAGCAACAATAGAATAAAAGATAGACCTCCTGTAATCCCCTTTGTGGAAATCCATGTGCGCATTGATTTATCAGAGTTATTTTTCTGTCGGGAGATGCTCCTAACAAGGCCACCGAGAGTGCTACCCTCACAGGGCTCCGCTCTGTCATGTTGACACTGCAGCCCGTGGTTGGTAGGGGCTGATGGCAGTGGCAAACAGGGACAGAAAGGGTCCGTTTGGAGGAGAGCACTGCAACTAGGTAATGCGGGGTGTTGAAACGAAGGTTGGAAACACCGCCCACCTTTTTGGGGGAGAAGGACAGTTGCATGTGCACAACACGTTTTAGCACATAGAGAAGAACCGATGGCGTGGGGAGGTCGCTGGCCCCAGCCGTCCAGACATGTTGAGACGAACCAGAATGCTGAGAGGCTGGGCTTCTAGGATTGACTGGGAAAGGTTTCGCTGACAAGGAAGGCCTCTGTGAATTGATTATACGTCGTATATTAAATACTTGTACTTTGTTATTACCATTGTGATGATAGTTACGAAGTGCAAATAAGGATCTCTATGTGCAAAAGCTTAAAATACAATTTGAAAAGGGAAGACATAGGGGAAACAGCTAGAGAATGTAAAAACATATTGTGAAGCGCTAATTGTATAGAGCTCCCACAAATGCATTGAGGAAGACAATAGATGGAGGAAGGCACAGGTGAAGAGGAAAGAGTGCATATGCAGTAATTTTTATTATTGAAGGAATCAGTAACATATCAAATATACTTAGTTTTAATGAGTTTTTGTACAATCCTGTGCTTGTGTGTGTGTGTATGTATGTATTTATAAAAATGGCCATTTAGATTCCTTACAAAAAAATGCTCTTGATTTAACATTATGATAGAATCCGAGTTGTTTCTACATCTATTTTTCTTTATCTATTCAAGAAACTTTCATAAAACAGCCTTTAATTGCCAAGACAATGGGGAGGATAGAAGTGAATTAGACATGGTCTGATTCTGTGGGGAAGACAGATGTATATGCACAAGTAATTAGAGCAGATGTACGCTGTCCAATAGAATAGTCACTAGCTGCATGGGCTACCGAGCACTTGAAATGTAGCGTGTGAGAGGAACTGATTTTTAAATGTTAATTTTATTTTAATTTAAAATAAAAAGTTGATATTTGATGCAGTTATTATAAAACCTTCAGGTGCATTTGGAATACTTGGGTTTGTGCATCTATACTGTTTCAGCTGTAAATTTTATGACATCTACATACAAATCAATTATTTTTGATGACAACTTAGTGTCTAAATTTAAAATATGCTACAAATGTGAAATAGACATTGGATTTCAAAGGCTTAGTATGAAAGACTATAGACTGCCTTGATATATTTTTGCATTAAATACATGTTGAAATGATAATATTTTGGATATGCCTGGTTAAATAAAATATTAAAATTCACCAATTTCTTTTTACCTTTTAAATGAGGCTCCTGGAACATTTACAATTCTGCATGTGGCTTGTGTATTTTTCCTTGCAGCTCTGTAGTAGAGAGTAAACTGTTGTGAGAGTCACATGTACTGGGAGCTCCCGGGGCAAAGCAAGTCGGAGTGATCATGCCGTGGAGAGCTGGGGAGTCTTCACAGAGGAGGTGGCATTTGAGCTTGGTCAGGAAGAAATCAGGAATTTTTGATTTCTAATAGTTTTGCAAATTATTAGAATAGCTTGTCCGGGGAGATGATAGGAGCCCACATTAAAGCAGTGTGGGTGGAAGTGGAAGGGCATGGATCTGCTTAGAGATTTGGACATAGAACTATCAAGGGTTGTTGATTGACACAATGTGGGAATGGGAGCAGCTGGGAGGTCGAGAAGATTTAAGCATGCAATCTGTATAACACGCTGACTTGCGACAACCATGTTGTGACATAATTGTTCACGGGACCAGAGACTCTAACTCAATATATACACAGCATTTCGGTATTTTAAATAAAGAAAAGTCTTCACCATTTTAAAGACATCAAGTTTTATGGACTTAGTTTTGTAATCAAAGAAAGAAAGCTGTCTTTCTAAGTGTTTAAAAAGAATGATATTTTAGTGTCACATCTCATTAACTAGGCTGGGTAGGTGGCAAGAGAATGTTACTATAGAGCATCCTATCTGTAGAGTTGGTGCACTGTTTTGGTTTGGTGTTTTGGTTTTATTCCTTTTGGCAATTTTTGATTCCTGCATTATTTGGGGCATTTGTGCATTACAATAAAAGTGACACTGGAAAATGGGTTCCTTAAAGCCTTTCAGTGAAATAGTTTTGTCTCAGGTGTACTGTTACTCTTGCCCTAACTAGCAGCTACTCCTCCATGACTTTCAGCTTTGTGGATCCCTTGAATCGATGTAAATGGCTTGTTTTACATTGGCTGGCAAACCCTAACCAAGTGCCTCTGGCAGAAGCCTGTGCTTGCATTGATGGATGATGCTCACATGGATTAGTAAGGTTAACACGGAGTAGAAGATAAGGAGATGCACCTGTATGTATACACCAAAATGGGAGGGAAGCACATGTAAAATTTTAAAGTATCTTGAAATAATGTGGCATGTGCAACGCAGACTAGCTTGAATGAAGATTCCAAGCCTGTCACGCCAGTCCTAGCTCGTTCCATGTGGTGGCACGCTGAGCTATCTTAGACACATAAAAAAACACCTTGTATTGAATTTCCTTTATTCCTTCATCAAGAATTCCCACCCCCGCATGAACAAGACAGAACTATATCCTCATTTTTTTTGAAAAAAGGGATTTTCTCATGTGTAGGTGACTGTACAGTGAAATTGAAATATGAAAAACACAAAGAATTTCATTCACTTGTGTCTTGGACGTTAACAGTAAATGCATACAGTGGCATAGGGAATGATATGAAAGTGGCAGTCTCATTGAGAGTTTTCTAGAAAAATATTTCTCAATATGAGGAAGAAAAATCCATCCCTGACCATGGCTTGCCCAGCTCTTAAATAATATGGCTACCACTTACCTCTCCAATCTTACCATATCTTCTTCCTCATTTTGTGTTATGTTCTGACCAGTTTGTATTTGTTTTTGTTTTTCAAATACTCCACTTTGTTTCAACCGCAGAACCTTGACTCTTACTCTCCTTTGTGCCTGGTCTTTGTTGGTCTTCGATGGCTGGATCCTTTTCATTTGTTCAGGTCTCAGGTGAAAAATATCTCCCCAGAGTCTCCCTTTGACAACTATCTAATCCTTTTTTAACAAACCTTCTCCCTAGTCACTGTGCATTCCATTGCCCTACCTTGTCTTGTTCATTATCTGACTCTCGTTGGAATGTAAGTGGCAAGAGGGCATGCACTGAGCTTGTCTCTTTGTTGCGTGTCTGGCTCCCAGTAAAGTGCCTGGGATGAAGTGAGTGTTCAATAAATAGTTACCGAATGAATCGAACCAAAAGTATAAGCTTATTAGTTTGAAGAATCAGGGATTCCAGTTCATCCCTTCAGTTTGGCTGAACATATATTGTGCACTTTTTATATTACTCAGGGCATTTTATTTAAGTTCTTACTCCTTCAACTCGTGATAATCCGAGGGCCAGTGGAAATTTGGGAGCCTAGACTGATTGGACAGAACTGTTCCCTGTTTAACATGTTCTTTCTTTCCCTCATAATACCGCCACAGGAAATTGAAAGAATCTTGATTCACATGGGAACTTTATCCACTTCTCAATTGCTCTTTTGAAACCTTGCCTTGACTTCTTACATTAAAAATCCTTCTCCAGGAGTAAGTCATGCGGCACAATACTGATACTGACATCGCTAACATTCTGCGTTAAAAGGTCTGGACTGATGACTAATGGAAAACTGCAAAGTGAGAAGAAAACAAGGCCTGAAGAGTGAGGTAGTGGGGAAAAGTCTGTGTTGGTAGCTCTCTGTAAAGCAGAATACTTGATCCATTAATTAAAAAAATGGTAATACTCGTGTCATCAAACTTTAGAGGTGGGTTTAAAGCCTCATTCCCCTGTGTTCTTTATGTTTTTATTTATTCTGAGAGCATTGTTAGCTACAGGAGGGTTTTAAACAGGAGGGACATGATCTGACTGACAGCTGAGGGGAGGGTGGTGGAAAGGGGGCGGTGCTGTATTGTATTGGGGGAGGTCACACTGGACAGAGGGGTGGGCAGGGCTGGAATGTGAAGGGCCTTTTTATTGTTTTCTCTCGTTACCCCTAGTATTCTGAAAATGTATGACCTGTGTTGGTGTACGTCTATTTTTGCCCTTTGTGCTGGGCACTCAGTAGCCATTTAGTCTGCAAACCTGTGTCTTTCAATTTCAGGAAATTGTCTTAAATGATTTTTTACGTGATTTTGTTCCTTCCTAAGATGTTGAACTTCTTAGATTGCTACTCTAGTGTTTTTGTACGCTCTTCTCTCTCATGTTTTCTCTTTTTGCTCTCTTCTCTGAATTTTTTTTGCAACTTTATCTTCCACGTTTTTATTGCAATGTATTTTTTTAAAATTTTAGTTTATTTTTAAAACCACAAAACAGTAAAGCCATTTTCATGAAAAAGAAAAAAAGGCAAACACCAGAAAAACACACCCTTCTCTGCCAGAGTTGCGTCAGGGCCAGACTGAAGGTGAAGATAGTGTATTTTCCTTGAAAATGCAGAGCACAGTGCCTCTTGATGGTAATAAGCACTTGTGTTTACTGTGTTGAATGAATGGGCAAAGGAAGTGGAATGAGATGTCAAGAGATTTGTGCACATTCTGTCATGTTGTAGAAAGCCTCCGATGTGACCGTGTGATAGTTAGGTGAGTTCTAGGACCGCTGACTGAGAGAGGGAAGAGATAGACTAGGGGGCCAGGTCTCTGGCTCTGTGGCCTCAAAAGCAGATCCTTCTTTTCCTGATGTTCCTGTTGCTGTTCATGACACCCCATTGGTTGGCAGAGTCTCTTATATTTACTTCTGCACTGTCTTTTGATTCCAATATCTTCTGTGTATTCCCCTTTCCATTCTTCAAGCCTTTGTTTTTACTCATTTCCTCTTGGGAGACTTCTTACTTCCCAGTTAGTCCCTAGACGCCTCTATTCTTTCGATTCTACCCTGTTTCACACATTAATTTCATATTAATCTTCGTTTCAAAACTGCCACTAGCTGCTCACTGTCTGTTGAATCTTTCAAAACTTCTCAATTTAGCATTCAAGGCTCCATTCCCATGGACCCCCACATGTGGCTCCTGAATGTTGCCTTTCACCTTCATGCTTTTCTTCTTATTGTTCCTTCTTTCTGGATCATCACCCTTCATTTCTGTCCAGTCAATGTCTGCTCATGCTTTATGATATAGCACTAGGGTCACCTCCTTCATGAATCCTTTCTGATTCTCTCAACCAGCTGTAATTTCACCCTCCCCGGAACCTCGCTATCATTTGTAACACTGTTGGTCGTCACCACATTCTGCCATGGATCACAGCTGTTAGCGTATGTGTTTTCCCATCCAGCCCTGAGGGCAAGCACCAAGTCTCATTCATTCTGACAACTTTAGTTAAGCACTGTCTCTTGCGCATTGTGGTTCTCATCACTGGCTTCATTTACTTATGAAATCCAGGTGGAGTGCTGCAAAAATAATGACATTCACATTTTTGTATTCAACTAGTATTTATCTGGTGTCTGGTTTCTTTGTTACAGTTTATTACAGAAACAAATAATGCTATGATTTATTAGCCCATTTGAATTTATGGTAAAGAAAGTAATGCAAAATGTCTTCACAAGTTGCACCAGAATGATTTATTTAGTTAACAATCAGAAAAAATGTAATTCTGTCCAGTACAAAAGTGGGAGGTAAAAAGACCCAGCAATATAATTCTAATGGAAGGAAATTTTGCAGGGAGAAATATTGAAATACATTTAGTACCAAAAATAATGGCACGTCAGCAATAAAACTTATGCCACATGACATATAATTATAATACTTTTCATGGTTGTGAAAAATGGACAGTCTTTCTCAAGACAAACATCAAACACTTTCTAGAGAGGTGTGTGTGCTGTTGGTTCCACGTCAGATGGCAGTAGGTTATCTCCATTTTGTGCTCTTAGAATATTGACATCCATGTTAAGATACACAAGTATATCCAATAACTCTACAAACTGTATTAACATTGGTTATGTTCTCAGAAGAACTGAGCATCAATTTTAGTTTAGATTGAAAAGTAATCTCAAAGGACAAGCTATGTACAAGTGGCAGCGATGGCGTTTGAAGTAATTAGGGTGTTTAACAACCAGGGGGATAAAAACTACTAATTATTCTCATTCTCATCTTTTTTTCCCCTTGAATGTATTTGAATTATATACAGATTGGGACTTAAAAAAACGTGGTATCAGATATCTTTGTAAAAATGATTTTCTAAATCCTTTGGGTTTAATTGCATTGGTGTCTCAGGCTTGTAGAGGACTCTGCAGGCTGCTTCCTGCAGAGACTTTAGTTTCTAAAGAATAGTTTATACCTTTCTTTCAATGTTTTGGTTATAGTGTCATTCTGTTATTGATGCACTGACTAATGTTTTTTGGTGGGTCTGTATATTTTATATGTATATACGAGTATATTTATATTATTTTTCAGTGACTTCAACTTATTTTCAAATTGAGTAAGTTTCATAGGTTAGTCAGTCTGTATCACTTTTTTGTTTCGTTGAAAGTGAGGTTGCTAACATTTCTCAGGGGTAAAAAGGTGCAACATTTGTCTTTGTTCAGCTCTCTTCTCTTTTATTGTTCCGGCCTGTGGGCTTTGCCTATAGCGTCTGTGTCTGTCTCCCCCAGTCCACGAGAGATGCATGCTGGTTGTTGTTTTGTGTTTAAACAGCTGAACACCTGGCTGCTC